CAGTGTCACATGATTCTTCAAAAATCATTCTAATATGCTGATTTGATGCACAGGATACATTATTATGATTGATTCTGAAAATAGTTGTGATGCTTAATGTTTTTTGGAAACTGTTATATTATTTATTTATTTATTTATTTATTTAAAGAGCATAATTGATCTAAAATAGATTTTGGTAACATTTAAAATAATGAATTTCTTGAAAAAAAATTTACCCAAAACTTTTGAACAGTGGCGAACATTAAATTTATAATCATTTAGTTACATTATACACATAATGGAATATACATTTCATTTTTAACTTGCGAATTAAATATGCAGTGTTAACTTATATTATATTTGTGTATTATATTATTAAGTTTCACCTGGTGAAAATCGTTTTGTAATGAGCTTGTGAAATAGAAAACTGTATGCATACAGGTCTAGCTTGATCTGACGTGATCTGGTTCTGTCCCACCTGTAGATATCCCGTTTCATGAGTTATGTCACAGTGCCAGCGCTCTGACCGGCCGCCGCTACAGGAAGTGGCTGCAGGACCTGCGAAACTCTCACTCTCTGTACAAATCAAGTCACTGTGCATTAATAGATCGCTTACTGGAGGGCTACGACAACGCTCGCCATGGGACAGGGGTCAGTCTGAGTGCAAATGTGTGTTAAATGGTTATGTACAGCAGGGGGCGCTGCAGGACACATATAAGAGGCTTGCGATTTCTTTCCTGTAGGTGTTTGGTGAGGCAGAGTTCATGAAGTATAAGGACGATCTGGCAGAACTGGCTGCTGTGTAAGTGCTGCTGTCCAATTTTTGCTGTTTATCTCTCAAATTATCTCTCTTTTCACTCTGTTCTTCCTCTTTTCTCCACAGTGTGAAGACCCACTCCAGCACCACCAGTCTAAACCAGCAGCACCAGTCAGCAGCTAAAGATCTGACCAGCTCCTCCGGCCCGCCGTCTGCCTCTACCATTCAGGTCACGTACCTGCCGTCCACCGGACAGCGCAGCAAGAGGCCCAAACATTTCCTGGAGCTCAAAAACTTCAAAGACAACTATAATACACTGGAGAGCACACTTTAGAGATTGGAACCCTTTTGAGGAACTGTGTAAATATAACTCAGAAACTGTGAATCAGAAGTGTTCAGTTCTCACTGGAAAAGCCTTCATGTAGAAATGAAAAGTCAAATGGCCTCAAATCACATTGAGAATGTGAGAATGACTTAATATATGACTAAATCTGTGGGATAACTGTCAGTGCAACTGCGTTGAGAGCAATGCGAGAATGTTATGTTTGTAGTTTTAATGTTTTTCTGATGGAGCTAACAAGAAGAGCTTTTTTGTCTAATGTTAAAAGTCACTGTTTACCAGCTTTTATTTGCGAGAATGGCCTTTAATGTGAACAGGGAGTGTAAAGTTTATATCTTTATTGTCCAAAGAGCACCAACAAAGCGCCCTTTAACTGAGATGATAGCATTTTAACTGGATTGACTTTACTGGAACAAACTCATGAATTAAAAAATAGTTGAATGGACATTAAAGGGACAGTTCACCCAAAAATGAAAATGTACTTAACCTCCACTTGTTCCAAACCTATGAGAGTTTCTTTCTTCTGTTGTGCACAGAAGAAGAATGTTGGTAACAAAACATACATTCTTCAAAATACCTTTTTTTTGTGCTCAACAGGAGAAAGAAACTCTAACAGGCTTGGAACAACTAACCCATGCATTCATGGGTAAACTAGCCCTTTAACTGTCCAATTTTATACTAAGGCTACTTCAGTTTGAGGTTTCTAAATAAGAACCTTTCCCACATCCATGAGAAGAGCTGTGCAGAGGATGAGAAATTGGGAGAGAACAATATTATGAACTTCTGTGCGATTGATTATTTCTTTTCAAGTGCAATTGTATTTTTTAAATGAGTTGGTGTAAATGTGTGTATAGGTTTGAGTCATGAATTGATATGGTTGTTGTATGAGAGACTGTCTATATTGATTTTCACTGTATTCTAAAATCTTATCAGATCTAATAAATTGTCTGCGTCTTCTGTACCTGCGCTGCTCTGTCAGTAGTGGTCTCCTCTAACCAGACGTCACTGGTTCGGTATGTAATTGAGGGCTGTTCCTGGAGATCTACTTACCTGTTCAGTTCAGTGCAGTTCTAACCCTGCTCCAGCACACCTGTCTGCAATTATCAAGTGTTTCTGAGGAACTCAATTAGCTGGTTTAGCTGGTGCGTGTTTGATAAGGGTTGGAGCTGAACTTTCCTGGAAGGTAGATCTCCAGGAATAGAACTGGGCTCCCCTGATGTCATCTATTCATTTTAGTTTTTTTTTTTACTCCAGTCCTTATATATATATGTTATATATATATAAGCTTCAATATCATAGAGAGCTGTTTCAGACCTTTAATATTTCTTAAATAGTTAATGCATACAATACACAAATGGTCAAATGTCTGTTTTTTTTTTATTATTTTTTGTCTTATGCTCACCAAAGCTGCATTTATTTGATTAAAAATACAGTA